TTTTCGACCGCACTGTCCATTCCATGTGTGTTTCCTATAAACGTAACGTTGTATCACGCCACTCTCGAGCCGCTTCAACGCCACTTCAAGGAAGTGAAAAGTACCATTTACCTCTACTTCGGAGGTGAACTTCAGTGCAAACACCAAGAAAAATATAATGGGACGAACTCACGTGTTTATTGAGTAGGACAAAAGACAATCAATCCGACGACAAATGAATGTCGGTGAGGATCCAGGTAGAAAATTCAAATTGGGACGAGAGCAGGGCACAGGACGCTTAGTTCTTGCTTTACTTCCTATGTGCTGGTAATTAAAGCAACCCAAACGTCGAATTGCAGATAAGGAGTCCTGGGTTGCTTGCTGGTATAATAAACAGATTGCTCCTTAGGTGAGAGCCTATCTCGATAGGATCAGGTCGAGTACAAGTTCAAGTTCGGGTCGAGACCGTCCGACAAAGGAATCTGTCTTGATGACAGCGATAAATTATTGATGGAACAGAATAAAGCATTATCACTCAAACGCTTCCAAGCCAAATTTGAAGGCAAAAACTTCAAGAGCGAGATTTCAAAAGTTAAAAACACGCACGAAACCGATGTAAGGGAAGCAGCTAAGTTCAAGTTCAATTGGGACCGGAACGACAGGATAATCTAGTGAATGTTCCTTCTTTTGCGTATCGTTGGATCTGGTATTGATAGGTCTGCTTGAGATGCTGAAAAGCCTAAAACAGAGACCGCATCACATCTTGTCCAACCAATTACTGCCCACATTTTCCTGCCCAGCAGTCCCTGCCAAACCGGTTTATGTGAAGTAAAAGAGTGAAGGGTAAGCTAAGAAAACAAGAGGAGGAATGTCAGCTAAATAATGATAATCCATGGTTGAGAAATTAAAAAAACGAAGGGAAAGTTGAAGATACAAGTCGGTTAGGAGCATGGGAAGCTTTGGTACTGCTACCCAAGATCATCTAACCGACGCTCGAAACCCTCAACCGTAGACTTCCTAAGGACGTGCTCCGAAAGCGATTTCCAACGTTCAATAACCAACTGAATTCAATGGTAAGATCTTCAGTGATCCGAGAGCAATAGATCAGTACAAAGATATCGTCAACATAACGGCGTTAGAGACTGAGGTACGTGATGACGGATTTCAACTTGCCCTGTTCAAGCACACTCATGAATACGTCATGGAGAAACGGTCCAAGGGGAGAGGCCATGGCAACACCATTGCGTTGTCGATACAATTCACCGTTAAAAGCAAATGAATGTTGAAAGTACACCGACGCAGCAGTTCCTTTAGGGCCAACATAGGTATGCCAATTGCTACATAGTTTTATTCGATATAATCACATGTGTAACCTATAGTTTCAAATAACGTCATATTTGTAATAAGTGAAGTCACATCGAAAGTGCACATGATCAGATCCGTGAATTTTGATCGCGCACGGAATCCACAAAATCAAAACTGTCCTTAAGGCTGTGCATAGCAACTCGTTATGGAATAGGTTCCAGAAGCTCGACCAGCTACCGCGCCGTAGAGTGGTACGGTGAGTTCTTCATTTCTGACTGGTTGAAAGGGGACTTCAGGGTTATGCGTTTTGGGAATTGTGGTGCATGTGGGGCGTAGGTTTTTACACACATTCTCACTGATGTAGCCACCGTCCTTACCAACCTTTACGCTGTGTCAAAAATTTTATTTTGTCCACATGTAATTGTAAAAGCCTGAAGAGGAATTATTGAAAAGATATGTTCTCTCGCATCGACTTTCAAACATACAATGGAATTTTTATTACATTGTTCGATAATTAAAACAAACACTCCATCTAAATTGATAGTTGTGTACTACGGTTACCTAGTTCCAAGTGTGCCTTATTATGACAAATCATATCGAACTATTGTACAGCCAAATGTGAGCTTCCGATTTGCAAACTTTACCGCAGTATAAAATGATGTTGAACAAAGCGTGTTCGACTTGTATCAGTGAAATTTTACAACTGATCGGTTTGCCCCAAACACCCAACAAGCGATTTTTTATACTCCCACTAACTTGTTGACACTGCTTGGTTTTTTGCTCTGCATTCATAGTATTTTCATGCGACCAACGAAGTGTACGCCCTACTGGAACCAAACACTGTAATGACCACCGTGTCTGGTCTGAACGAATCTCACAACGACGAGGTGACCAAAACGATATCCATTCATACGGATTGCCTCAAATCAAGCCCCAGTGAAGAAAGTCTATGGTGGTATCATCCAACAAAACAAAACCGTAAACGAAAAAGTCGGGCCGCATCATTTCCGTATTCAATTGAAGATAATGCTAAACTAGGGAGCGTGACGCGGTTTTCAGGTAACAGAAATGATACAAAATTTAACGAAGTAGCTGAATCCTCGGATGTGATGGAATACGCCTGTCCGGCTTCTTGTGAAGGTGATGACTTAACGACATGCCTGAAATCACCACCTTTTGGTAAGTTGACTCTTGTTGTTTAACTTGAAGAGGAAAATCTTGATTATCACACATTTAAGGAATTAAATTTTGTTGATAAGAATGCGTCCCCTTAACCTACGAAGGCTAGTATTTCAATTTTTGCTGGCGTGTACTGCTTTTCATGGTACTTCTTGGTTGGTGGCATTCGTTTACGAATTCACCTGTCACTAGGACCTCCATACTACAATCACAGGCCGATTGCGCCTACAGAAGGACCATAATTGGTTAGCGCTGCACCACCCACAGTTCCTATCTACACACCTCATATCCCGTGTAAAACCGAAGGAATAAAACCCGGAGGCATATGAATGGGCACAACGTTTCATCAACGGAGCCAGCCCACACTCCTTCAGCAACAGCATTCCTGTCTATACTATGAGGGGATTTATGCGTACTAGACTGTCGCAAGACGGTGACCGGGCCGTGGTCTGCTCCAAAGTGGATGGAACCATTCTCTGAGCCTAGCATCGTGTCAGTATTCTAGGTGGGGGATGTTATACAGGTAGGCACCTTGTCAACATGTATAGCAAGCGCAGCCGCACTGGAGACATCAAACATTAATATGGATTTTGAAAAATACAAACGGAAAATGCAGTATAAGGTGAATAATTTCTATCCAGTTTAAGAAGAGCTAGTTTAAATTCCAACCAGTGTAACACAACTGCGGTGAAGAAGCACGATGTATACAATATCAAACTTGAACTGAGGCTACATTGGACTATATATATCTACGGAATAAGCATATGGATTTTGAATTGTTAATAGTGATAGTTGTCACCAGTTAAGCGACATGAAACACAACAAAACGTGTTGCTGCAATTCTGCCTTATGTCATAATAACGAGGTTGTGGTCTTTTCATTAAGGTGTGATGCATTTATGTGTCTTGATTGCCGTACTTGATTTCATTGAATATACTGGGCCAGTAACCAGATGTTGCTTAACGTACACTTGATGAGTACACACTTGATGGTTGGTTTCTAATAACGTGGATGTTTTAGTTCCTTCAGTCTGTTTAAAATAGCACTTCAACAGCCCAGGTTAACTTAATTTTATAAACCGAAACACATATAATGCGAGTAGAGGAATGTCTGATGTTGGTTCCTCATGTGCACTTGTGGGATAGTCTACTTTTGCTAACCTTCCAAAATGTCACTCACGACACCACAAACAGAAACATGTTGATTGTTTTCTAGAATTTGCAATATTTTTGCCAGTTTTCGGACGGAACGGCTGGTCATGCCACGTTAATTACTTACTGAGAGCACCGCTTCGAGTATGCCAGCAGAAAGTCATTTCGAATTTCAAAAAATTTTATGTCACAATAATGCACTTACATTTTTCCAACGGTGTTGCGTATGAATGAATTGACCTAAATGTCTACTCAAGCTAACAATGGTATACGTTTACTCATCTAGGGTGAAGTGGACTTGCAGACATTCGGTTACCTGAGAAGTTTTGATCTCCCCTTACATGGCTGAGATTAGTGATAATGTTTTAACTTAATGTAAGCTAGTTCTCATTGCACCGTAATACTATCTATCAATTCTCATGTAAATATTCAGTCTCAAACTAAGTCATCTGTTGACAGTGTTGATCAAAGACTTGAAAGCGCCTCAGATCCTTACGCTGAGAAGGGCAAGAGGCACTGCCTTGAAATAGGCCCATGACTGTGGCCTTGTGTCCTCGGCTTTTCAGACCAAGAGAAACCCCAGCTGACGCAACATATGTCACAGCTTCAATTAGACAGTTCCAGCTTTTGCAGTACATTAGGGGACCTCATTATTTCTATGCCCATTGTTACTGATGCAGCTGCCAAGGTAAGATACCTGATCAACTACCCCAGCTACCTCAACTACTTCACTATCAAGGGTCAATGGATAAACGAGCAGATGGAGATCCTACAACAACAATTTGCATTCTGTAGTTGCGAAGCGTATGCCAAACGATTGGATCGCCCTAGGGAACATATGTGTTGTTGGCTAGCCTACTGAAAATTCCTTCAGCAGCAAGCCAACATCTTCCGCATAGTCATAATCAAGTAGCATTTACCAGACAGCACCTCGACGTCTACATCGTCAGAAGCTGCAGGGTAGTACTTTATGGTTGAGTCTAGTACGAAGTTGTAGAATACTCTTGTCAGGTGACACCAAAGTGTCCACAAACATACGTATGCCAGTTATCAGTATTGATAACGTGGTCATTTTCTTAGAGCAACAAATAACGGTTAATGAGCTGTGTTTGTTTAGACAACTACTACGTATTGCCGGTCACTGCCTATTAAGGAGAGCATTGTTTTGTTCGCCAGTTGCGGAGTAGCTCATGACTAGAGATGAACAAATGTTGATTTGGCAGAGGAAAATAAAGTTATTGACTACTAGATTGGGTGCCTTCGGTTTTTCTTACCATTCTAGCTGGAGTCCACGTGACCCACCTAGTACTTGACTGAAGACGTAATAGGACGTGGCTCGCATTCGGCACAAATGAGGCGTCTACTGTCGTACGTTAGTCGGACTATCTTTTCAAATGATGACTGGTGTTGATTTAGCTGGGAGGTCTTTTCTGATTATGAAGCGGGGCAGTAAAAGCCACAACAAAGCTGCTTTCGTGTGATAATTATTTGTCTGTGACGACAATTTCGTGACAGGGTGTGAATGAAATAGCCCTGAATGCTTGTTTGATGCACCACAGTTTGTCGCTAGATCTCCGTTCTCTTTCACTTGCTATTCATTGTTTCGTAAGTCATTTAGTTTATGCGGCAGTAAGACATTAGTTCAAACGGTTGAGGTATTGCTGTTTACGATGAAGACTACATGCCTGCACACTTTATCTTATTGTGTGGGGCTACGCATAATGCAAGCTTGTATTCTGCGTGGTAGATATAATAAAATGTTGCGATTTCAATTCTCGAGATGGAAGGTAATGACAAGCCGATTGACTTGTGGTTTGACCTCAAAACGAGTAGAAAAGAGCTGCGTACAAACCTGGTCGAGAAAATGGGATGCCGAAACAAATGTTCACCTTATATATATTGTATCACAAAATCTGGTGTTACGGAAGCACAACCTAGTGTAATCGGTTCACTAATTCGAAGGCGGACATTATTACTTCCATCGTAAATTACTCCAAAAAGTAAAACTTATATTCACTTAACAGTGTAAACATGAACTTGATTAGATGGACTAACCGTTTGGAAAATTATCTTACTGCGTGCAGCAAAACTCCGTATTGACAAGTCCAGAACATTGCCGTAAAGTTAGCTGGTGACACTAACTTGAGGATAACGGTTAAAATCGGGAGATTATTGATCCTTCACAATTCTTATTATTTCTCGGTGTACACGGAGTTTAACTGTTCACGTGTGCAAATATTTGGGTGCAAACGAGCAGATTTACAATGCAACGTATCCCGATGGATATCGCATGGATATCAACGCAACGGACTACCCCAGTATTGAATCCGGAATAATGTTGCTGAACTGATCTTTTGCATACAGAGAAGTAGTTGTGGTAAGAAGCATGGTGATTGTCTTGATCAATTCCTTCAGGTTATGGCCCCTCTAAAGTTTGATTTTTTAACTTGTGTCTAATGGTTTGCGCATATGACCAGGATAGTTTTGAAGTTGACGTTAGATCATGCAGCAAAATTAATTGTCTTCTAGTAGGTGAACGTAAATGATCTAACCAAAGCTTGTGGATACTTAAAGGTTAACATTCCACATTGTTTTTCTTGATAAGACTGCAATTTAAACGAATGTTAAATCCTTCATGTTTTGAAAGTTTGCTGGAGAACGTGTGGAAATTTGTACACCTATAACTAAAATCGGCGACATCTTTTGACATTTTAAACTCTTTTGTTCTCCCTAGAAGTTTGTTAATTATCCATATATCCGCTACCATGTTTTGAGATTCCGATCTTGGGTTCCCAGTTATCTTAGCGGACTCACATCATTTTCGGCTTGTTTTTCCAAAACAATGAAAGTAAGACATTGGTAGAGTAGTTTTGCTTTCGTTACTGTTGTATGCATGCCTCTATTTCCCCCGATTGTCACATTGCAGGTTTTGAACGCTTCTCACATTCCTCTGATCGACCAGATGCATCAAACCTCACCATGGCCTCTGAATTGGCATGGGACCGGGATTTGCTGAAACTGTCCCACGAACGCCTTGTGGCCTACTTCGCAGATATGAAAGAATCGACCGCTTAAGTACAACACTCCGGGCGCCATTTTTGCGCAGCCTATAGGCAATGATCAAGGCAGTTCGTGGCTGTTTCTTCCCAAATCAAGCATGCAACAGTTCCTAAATAGTTGCGAACATATAAAGCAATACACACTATCTACCATGAGGATAAATTGCAAACAGCAAGCCGTCATTCCGCGTAATTCAAACTCATAAAACATGCATTTATAGCCTTGAGAATGAATATTCTTCTCATTTGATACCATAACAATATGCAGGGACAGTGAACTAGTGACTTACCAGTGGCTATTCCAAGCATCAATCGTTATTGATTTAAAAGTTATTTCTCATTGCTGCGCATCAGAAAAGCATTTGCTTTTATCTGTAAAATATCCAACCCGCCTGTAGAGAAAAAAAGCTCACACCAGCGAATGTGCCTAATTGCATCTTGTCACTTGAGTATTAATGGGCCATTCAAATACTCCTCAAAATTAAATTTTTGATGCATTTAAGCAGATTATACCGAGAAGACTTTGTTGCGCTTACAAGCGTTTTGGTTTTTGTTTTCATCCCCATCCAGTATGGTTGTGATACGAGAACACTGCGATTAGCTGGCCCTCATTTTTATCACGACACCGTTCTCTTTCCCCCTGCTTTAATACCAAGTGGTCAAAATGCTTTATCCATTAAGTGCATTTCTCACAAGTTCCTTAATCGGTTGTTTTAATTTTACTACTGAACCCAAAGTGAAATGCATTTGTGACTGTCTTTTCGTTTTCTGCTTCTTTTACAATTGAGGCTTGCATTGTGACGAGTGGTTGAACAGAATTTTGTGGACAGTCTACCCCTTTCTGCAATTATTGTTAGACCTTAGAGTATCACAGATTGTGTATTTTCGCTACGCAGCGAAGTATTGATAAGTATCTTGAGTTAATCATCATAGGATTGAATACACTGTACACTTTCCATGTCCTGCTTTGGTTGTCTCCAGATTTATTGAACGATTTTAAGGTTTATCAGCTTTGACGTGCGACGTAATGAATATTATTAGTGATAGGGAACGAACGTGAATGAGATAATAACGAAAAATAAAGAAAGAGTATCACAGTTGTTTGCGGGGATCAGTTGAAACTATTGGATAGCGGTGAACTTCTGACACAGCAAAGGAATATCCCTTGATCTCTCCGAAATTTCATCATGAGTAGTTCTGTGACACTGATTTGAGATTATCAAATAGTACACGGAATTCGAATAAGTAACTGACACATTATGCCACGGTGATTTTTAACTAGAGAAAAAGCATAGCTTGCATTACATGTCATTTCTTTTAGGAAGCTAAAGCCTAAAATAAAAGGCCAGATCAAGATGGAAATTTTGAGTAACATTAGAGGCTTATGGAACTGAAGCGCCACAAATAAAACCCTCCACCGAATGATATTAAAGTCAGTTAACTACGAACATGGACATCCGGTTGGTGTGAGTCTCCGAATATTATTTTACCCTCCCAAAGCTTCACGGTCTATGATTTCCACCCTTTGGATAAGGAAAACGCTGCGCTATAATGTTACAAACATTTCCGGGGAAACGGGCTGTAAATTTTAGCATCGCATGTTGTGATTCAGGCACTAAACCTCCATTATCCACGCCAACTCAGGATATCTCCATCTGATGACTCCAAAACTGGACAGAACCAGTCATTGGGCGACAGTGTTGGAAGGATCAACCCCAAAACACCTCCATTTTTGATGCTGTCCATGTGATCGGAATGATTAAGATCTAATTCAAAGTGACTTCGATGTCAATAGAGATTGCTCACCGCAGTCCAACCACACGGCATGTACTCCAAATCTAACCATGGTTTCCTTACCGCTGTGCCAAGCGTTGCTTATTCGTATATTGATCAAGTCGTTAGCCCTTAACTACTAGACACCGAGTTCCGCCCTAGTTCAAGCTGTCTCCACCTGATGAGTCCAAACGATGAGAGAACCGTTGGTCGTAGAGCGCCAAATCTGAAAATGATTGAGTTGCATCGATTTAAACAGTAGTAGAAGGTCTACCCGATGTCTAAAGCAACCGATTCAAGCAGCTTTTTTATTGCTGATCCCAACATCCATTTTTGCAGGTGTGTTCATCTGACTGAGATGTGCAAATAACACACAGTCGTTAACAGTATCACATAAAGACGACTTATATTTAAAGACCATGAATGAAGCCTAGGATTACGCCAGCATCTTTTGCTTAAAAAGAAACATTTTCGCTTACTTAAGCGCATTAAGACTGGTCGAAATAAAGAAAAAGTTCCGTACTCCTGTAGTGTAGCGCAAAAGGTTTCGAAAGCCTCATTGATTAGAATGTGACGTTCACTGTGGAATGGAACCATTATATTCATAATGGTAATTGTTGGAACAGTTGATCTGACTTGATTGCTTTAGAGTTCCTCTGCGCTACATAAAAGTAACATAAAAGTAGCTGAGTGATAATCCCCAAAACACCGCCTTGTTGAGCAGGATAATAGTTCAATTTGATCTATGCTCAGAACGGAAAGCTTTTCAGGTGGCCGTGTGTGATCCTCTTCAGTCCGTTGTACGAACTAAACATTTTCTCGAGAATCGTGGGTTTCACGAGAGTTCACGGAACTCAGTCGTTGCGTGTATACTCTGAATCAAGCGATATAGAACCTGAATAAATGTGCCATTAAATTTCAAGTTTGCACAACACATCAACTAATATCCATGTTTGATCAATAAAGGTGTTTTAACTAATCATGTCAACAGAACTACGTCATAGGAAGTATCGTGATAGATCCACCGGAGTAGTTGAGTTCTTGCCTCTCCACAGGCACAGGTGACAGAATAAGACAGTTCAGTCAGACTAATCGGACGTAGCATGATGCGGCCGCTGTGTGATCTAATAATATGCGTTTCACAGTAAGGTAATCAACTGCGTCATCTTTGTTTTATAACATACGGGAGAAACCGACGTACGAACGGGATCTCTCAGTGGAAACAAATGCATAGGATTACCTAAAATTACGGGATTCCTAATAACAAGATTCATGCTTATTGACGAAATTGGTAATCTATCGAAAGTCACCAAACCTAAATAAACAGCACAAAAGGAAGTGTTGCTAGTTTAGGAGATGGAAAGTAAGTGGCTTTTGATTACATTATCTGCAGACCGTTAAATGCAACTTGCATGCTCGTATATATTGCTTACTAGGTAACATTCATTTGTTAAACGACGCGCATAAACACTGGCAAAATTTAATGCGTATTTCACCAAAAATCTAGCACAGCGTTTGTGTCAGATGGCAGACCTAGCTTATTTCTTCATAGTATTAATTGGACTTTCTGGAGACGGAGGATTATATACAAATGCGATCGCACGATGAAGTGTTTCCTGTGCACATAGTAGCAATTATTAACACAGCAGTTAACTTAGACGAAGGGACACAGTAGCACGTTGTTGACAAGTGGGATTACGGAGCAGAGCAATAAATTATTAAAATGCTTCCTTCCGTCGGAGCTGTCGACCGTGTTCAGTAGTCCGAAACTCCTAAACAATTTAATCGGATACTATACCACACGTAGAATATCCAGTGGGGTTCAACTAATATCACAGATCAAAAGATAACGTTACTCAAGATAAAGTATCAGCCGTGAGAATACCTCAGTCATTCTTGCACAGCACCCGTGATCCGGAACATGCAATATCTTTATGTCTGAATTATACGAATATCTGTTAAGATCTCTTCACTATAATTTCAGTGACTCAAAAGTCTTTATTCATTTCCCCTGATGGGGCAGCACACACAGTGAACGGTGCAAGCAACAGACATTTTGTCTGTACATCAATTAAACCATTTCTCCTGCCGCTTACAACGGAAAGCGAATTGCTCCAAGTTGTTTGAGCTTCATCGCCTGATGTATATTCAGATATACTCAGTGAGCACACAGAAGTCTCAACACCACCCCACTTTATGTTGCATTCTTTCTACTTGACCTAGCAACATGGGTTAGCCAATGATACTGTGTAAAACCGCAGTCGGAGTTTCGTTGAATAGCAGATTTTACTGATGCGGTAACATTTACCAACAGGGCGTTGGTGAGAGCAATATAATTGGTCTAGAATACATGATATAAAGACAGGTATCCCTTGCTAGGTTAGGATAATAGGTGCTTATTTCATACATCGTAAAATAACGAATAGCAGATTAAAAATTCAGTGCTCTGCAAAGTGAACTATAAGTAAAATAATTCAAACAAAACTAGGTTCTTAAAAAGGGAATTTATCTGATCACTGCTCAGAGAGAACGTTGGGTAAGTGTGTCGAACCCAGTGTTTTCTCTTTATAAGCGTAAATGTTAAATTCTTTTATTCTAACCGCTGTTCTAGTTCCAAGATATCTTTTCGCCACCCATTTTGGTCCCTGTAGTGAAGAGAAAAGATGGAGCGACTGGATTTGAACAAATATTATTCCTGATATATATTCGTTTTACTTTAAGAGACAGAAAGCTTAGTTGACATGATTTACAAGATAGGCTGGAATAATGATTGTGGCTGAGCCGAAACGGTTACTGATGAGTTGGAGAACATTTTTCACTGATAAGTGATATGCCTATTTTAGCAAGGATATAAATGGAATACGTAAATAGGTTGCATGAAGCCACCCAGAAAAAGTGAAATTGTTAGGGAAATAGGTGCGATTTTATATACAAGCAAACTGCTTTTGAGTTGGTACAACATGGTGGACCATCATGGAACATAATAATAATAATAATAATAATAATAATAGGTATATTTTTCATCAAGGGGAAACTGTCTCCATATTTTGCAGAATAGGTCCTGCATATTCATACTTGGTAAACTATTGTATGATTTCCATTGCTTTGGCTGTTTCAAGGGTTTGTATTTGCTCACAGATGTTTTACGAAGCAATGTGCACTAGTTTGGATAGTGGATGGTAACAGCTATTTTTTCAATAATCCGGTGTTGTCTGACTTTTTGGCACAAATAATCAAGCCATCTCTCCCAAGCGAACAAGGTCATAGTCGTGTTCAAGTCTAGGTAATTGGTGAGCTTAACGCGAAAGGTCATTGCGCTGTCACACAATCTGCTTGTTACTGGGAGCTCTTTCCGCAAAACAGCATGTCTGATAAGGAAAAATTTGGACCGCAGATTTACCCTGCACCTGCGTACACTCAGGGTAAAATCCTTATTGCGTAGCTACTTTGTCCAACTATGCTTAATAATAGGAAGCGCAAATATCAGTGGGCCTTTTGATGAATCATGTTGTACAGAAGCATCAGATTATGTCTCAATCTTCGTAACCAAAGCGGATGTTGCTGGAATTGTTGGCAACGCTTTATATAGTTCTTAGTGGAAGCTTTGCCTAACATTCGTTTGGTAACTGACCTATGTATAATCCCAGTGATACTCTGTCGGATTTCTTTATGCTACCACAAGTGATACTGCAATATTCCAAAATGGGGCGTGTGAGGATTTTGAAGAGTTCTACACTGGCTGGAGTTATGTGGACCTTATGCAGCACATTATCCAGCAGTTTCCTCCCCCTAGCCGGCTGGTATTCCACTTCTTCGGAAAAGTTGTAAGTACAAGAATATTTTATTTCGAGGTCGTGGTTAAACAGCTGTATACAAAGGTGTTCGTCGTTGAGTGTAAGTGATTTCTAAGGATGGAACAACCGCAATCCATGATGCTAGATCTTTTCACCGAGAAATTCGTCATCCAACTGTCACACTATTTCTCAAGGTAGTGGAGGTTTTCCAGTATTAGCAGTTCAGGTCGTCAGAATTTGTAGATAATGTGTCATTTGCATATAAAAAAGACATGCCGTGAGTGATAACTGCACTGATGTCATTGACATAGAGCAGGAACAGTAACGGACC